CCGGTGAATATGGGCCTTCACGCTGGACACATCAAATTACTACAGAATTCAAAAATAAGATCAATGCAAGTCGTGTTAAGTGTTCCAGACCACATTGGACACACTTGGACATGTTCCGGGTACCCCGGGGAAGTTGCTTGAATATGAATTGAATTAAAACCCATTAAATCACATTAAAATACGATGATAAGGTGATTGGTAGCCAAGTTTATGTCAATAGATGGTCCTTATTATGACGAGAAATTTTGCCGAAGACACCAAGTCGCGGAAATGCTTCGTTTCGGAGTTATTAATTTTGCTCCGCTAGGTTGCATTCCTGACCCAGTGTGCAATGTAAGCATTAGACATTTTAAGAAATTGCGCTTGGTGTTTTTCTTGCCTGCTGTCTTCTGTCGTCATATTGTCATTATGAAAATGCCATTAGCCTTGGAATAAAATCCAAGAAATTTTAATAAAATAATGGCTAAATAAGAGATCCGAAATGATTTCCAGTGTGCATTGGTATGAACTTATGTATTGAGATCTATTTTCTGTAAAATTAAGGTGATTCTGTCAAATTCATTTGATTTCTGAAACAATCTTTTTTGTTAACTTGAATTATTTTGGAGGCGCATTTATTTAACGCTCATATTATCTCAATATACACGATAACATTTCAAGCGCATATGTTTTGGAACTTCTAAAAAGAAATATATTTTCTTTAAGATTTTCACTAATTGACTAATTGACACCAACACTCAAACCTATTTTTACCGCTAAAGATTTCCATTTGGAAAAAAAGTTTCAGCAGAACAGAACAACAACAAGCTAATTTATGGCGGTTGCTTTGAAGTCAATACAAATTAAATTGGCTTTATAACTGATTTTCACCAAAGCGTAATAAAATTGCTTGGATACAATATTACTCTTATAGAGGCTATGAGAACCTTTTGTAGAGTATGAGGCTTCCTGACAAAAGGTTTTAAGACAGCTTTATTGTGATTCTCAAACATGCTTTATAAACCTTATCAAGAGTGGTCCACTAAGCTGTATAACGATCTTATAGCGGTTATCAAAAGGTTGTGCTGGAGCTATTAATTTTATTGGCGGTTTTATGAAATTGATCTCAATAACCACTAATAGAGTGCAATAAAACAAGAAATGTTACTTGGGTATTTTGCCCTTACCAGTGCTGTAAATTCTCAAAATCATTTGAACATTTTTGATGAAAATGAGAAAAGTAGCTATTCGCTATCAAATGGGACCTCCTCCAAATGGGTGATATCAGTTGCTTAGTCATTTGACGAAGGCATGGATCATTCTTATTTGAGAAACGCTATATATCATTCAATTGACTGTAACCTACTCATAAACGGAGCTCTGGTCGACATTCCGGCAAAAAGCTAAGCCAACCCGACACATATACCCAAAATTGACCGACAACAACACGACATTGGGTCAACATCAAACTTAAATTAGCCTTACATTGATCCGACATCGGGTCGACTTGTCTGTTCGGAACCATTTTGCTGGATTTCTTCCATACTCCACTGTCGTATATCAAATGATAGTGAGTGACTCGATTAACAGTGACAATGAGATTCGAATGAAAAAAAGGGGCTCTTCAAATTATGGTCATGTTAGAATTCGTTTACACAGAATTGATTGAATGGTTGTATTGGTTCATCTTCAATCGAATGATATGAAAGTTACAGCACTAGCCCTTACACCAATTTGTTAAACTACAGGCAGCAAAAAGTGCTTTACAGTTTAACCGTCAAAATAAACTTTTAGATGGTGACTTGGTAGGACATCTAAAGATCCTTAAGGATTTCAAGTTAAATCCAGCTGTAAAAATAATAGAAGATTGTATGGTAACAAAGACAAACTACGATGTTCCCTTCAAAATGGTTAAACCAAGCCGCCATACATGGGAGTCTGGTGGGCCAAACATACGTCAAGGATCTATTGTATTTTACACCGATGGCTCGAAGATGGGTGAAGATACTGGAGCTATGAACTTTGGCCCTGAAGTCAGTAAAATTATACCAATGGGACATAGTCCCACAGTATTTCAAGCAGAAATTCAAGCAATCATAAAAAATGCAAACATCTGTCTAACAAGAAAATACAGGTTTGCCAAGATCTGCATATTCTCGGATAGCCAAGCTGCTCTTAATGCACTTAAGGTGATACTCTAAGGAAGCCTTAGCGTGAAACTTTAAAGGCACAAATGTCAGCTTCCACAAAACATACAAATTTGAAATTGCTACTCCTTTTTTGCTGTGCTACTACAAACAGAGAGTAGCAATTTCAGTTTCACGCTAAGGCTTCCTTAGAGTATCGCCTTAAGGCGTACAAGTCGATCGAAGCTAGTGTGGGAATGTATTCTTTCCTTAAAACAATTGACCAAAAGGAACGAAGTCATATTATACTGGGTGCCCGGCCATTGTGGCATTGAAGGAAATGAAAATGCCGACAGTCTAGCTGGACGTGCTTCTACATCGAGCTTCATCGGTCCGAAACCATTTTGTGGAGTCCCTGAGTGTACTATAAGAATGGAACTAAAAAGTTGGCAAATGTACATAGTAGAATCTTACTGGAACGCCACAGATGTATCCAGACAGGCAAAAAGCCCAGATTAATCTTAGTAAAAGAGATCTTAGGGTAATAACTGGTCTTATGACTGGTCACTGCCCTAGCAGATATCACTTATATAAAATAGGAAAAATGTCTTCTAGCGAATATCGGTTTTGTCAATTTGAAAACGAAACTGCTGAACATATACTCTGCAGCTATGGATCACTATTCAATCAAAGAATGTTTGGAAAATTTATATTACAGGGTGATTCAGAATAACTGTCACCGATTTCACAAATATGCAATTCTCAATGGGTAAAATGGGTATATGCTCAAGTATTTTTGTTTTAAGTGTGTACAAATATCAGCTTGTATTGATAGTAGGATTTGAAATTTCATTCGTTTGTGATTTCAAGCAGCCATTGACGTCAAAATGGAGAATGGCATAAATCTTTAAAAAAATCGTGTGTTATCTTTTAGAAACTGAAATCTCTTCGCAAGAATGTAACATTTATTTTTGCATCATTATAGAGGTACAAAGGAAGCATGCTTGGAAAATCCGTTCAATATCAGAGCTTAAACGCATCACCAGGACTCAAAAAGTGCTGGAACTAAAGCGTGCGTGCAAGCTGTGGTTAATTTTCATGACTAATGTGGCTGATAATTAAGGTAAAGGGAGAGAGATTAGAAATAAACTATGCTTAGTTGAAGATTATATATGTAGAATATCTGGAATATAATGATATCAAAAATTCATGCAAGCGTTCAATCGTTATGACAATTTTAAAAAGGGACATTTATTCCGAATCACCCTGTAGAACCCTTTGAAGTTTGGCAAAGCAATCCCATAATGGAACCCTTTGAAGTTTGGCAAAGCAATCTCGCTTGAGACAGCATGCAATGTCAACAAATGTCGATCGCACCTGAATTGTGAGAGGATATGTGACTAGCTCCAAAATAAAATGGGTCAGACAACAATATTCCTAAGTAATGGACGCAGTTGTAAAAAGGCTCTACAGATAAGAAAACAAAATTGAGCAAACTTGTGAGAGTTATTAAGTGCATCTTTATTTCGAAGAACTTTCACTACATCTGGTATATTTCTCAAAACAATAGAAACCAAAGTTATTCTAAAATTTAGGATTTTTATGTCTTTCTAAACTGCTGCAACATTTCCATGAGCAATAGGAAATTTATGGAAAAAGAACAATCAATATTTTCACGTTGTTTTTAGATACTTGAAAAAAAAAGTAATTGAATATTAATAAGCGGGAATGTTTTTAGGTTTGATCCGGAAAAATTCGGGATTTCCAAAATGAAAATTAAGCGTATAGACATACTTGACAGGGAATTATAATTACTAGTTGGAGCTTACTGGCATTGCTTCTTATGATCGGGTACAGACAGAGACTGAATGATTCAAGGTTTTTAATCTTCTTATTTCTGGATTTGACACTCTCACAGAAGATTGTGCCAACATGTCAAGCAATTTGCAATTTGCTCTTACAAGAATGATTTTCTCTCCGGGCCTATCTAGGTTATCTGAGGCTAAAACATTTTTCGTCGAATATTTCTTTATTTATTGGGTATTAAAATTATTAGGTTAAAATCCGTCACATTTGTATCAATGAGATGCATGAAATGCTTCACAAACTCTAACTACACCACTGTGCATTTTACAGCACTGTGCAACAGTCGCAAAACCCACCGAGAAGTAAATATCTTGAAAAGATTCGACCACTCCGAGATAAGGCGAGGAAAACGTAAAATTTCCTAAAGCTCTGTGCAAGCGCTGCTCTTTATGTCTGCAAGCATATACAAAACGAGCATCCCACATGGTCGGTCTGCCCTGAAGAGCCGACGTCGACGGAGGTACCAAGCAAATACAAATAATACTCAGTCTATATATCTCAAAGCGTTAATATCTGGACAAACATTTGCGGGCAACTTTCCTGCGGGTAGAATACATGAGATTTTCCTCTGTTTGAAGTGGGAGCGATGCGAGGCTAAAGCAACTGTCTTGCTATAGGACCCTGCAGGTCCGGTGGAGCCGCATCATCTTTGTCAGAGCTGCTTTCTTCGAGGTCGGTAAAACTTCCGGAAAGAGAGTATCTGGCTTTTCCTTATCATCTTCTTAGCTCTCTCGTGTTGGGCGTCGTCCTATGGCATATGTTCGTTGTTTGATTCCGAAGAAGGTAAATATTTAACTTTATTCTAATATCCGTTGTTGTGAGACTATAAGACAAATCCAATTTTGATACAAAAGCCGGAATTTGTTTGCTGTAGCTGATTTTGTTGTCTTAAATCAAGGTTTGTACACGGTAGGTGGCGTGGCACTGAATTAATAACAAGTACGAGATCAAAACAAGCATCATATTTATTGTTCTCTTCCGAGTTGTAAACCTATGCTAATCAAACTCATTTTTCTTTCTTTCTTCCAGGGTGACTCGCCGTTTGGCAAATCAGAAGCCTACATCAAATTAGAACAACTTGGAGAAGGGTCTTATGCAACGGTATTTAAGGGTTATAGCAAGTAAGTACCACCCATTTGTCTACTTTATCTTTCGCTCGCAACCATTTCGCAACACAGTCGTAGTACAGTAAATATTGAAATTTTGGGAGATTTGTGATTTTCTTTTTTTCAATCAACTGAATATATATTTCCCCTTTTCCGGTGGTGTGTTGAAAGACGAGGAGCTAGCAAAAAGGTGTGACCATTTTGCACCGTAATCGCCACGTGCAGTCACGGCCATAAATGTCCCTGCTGGGAACAATTTGGACTGCTGCTTGGGATATCCTTTTACGAAGGGATGTGAAAAATCGACCAGTAGCAAAGCAGATTTACACACCTAGAATAGCGTGTAGGAAAATATTTAAATTTTTTATTGCATTATTTATGAGCTCAGAACCGTCGCCTTCGTCAGTAAAATTATTCAAATGTTTTGCTGTTCCTTTCAGCTTTCACTATTATTGTCGTGTGTCGATGTGAACGGTGGAGACGCATGATTCTTCGTAAGCCAATGATGCTTGTTGGCCAACATGCATCGTCTGTAGAGCCATATTTCTTATGCTTGAATACCTTCACTGTGGTTGCTATTTCGGTTTGCTAAACGATTTCATGTTGGCGATTTTCGACTTTTCGGCAGGTTTGTACTGTCAATATCAGAAAAGGGAAGATGAAAAGAGAACGGTGGCATCAACTTAAAAAAAATGAATCTGGGAGGCTTAGAGTTTGAGTTTTAGGGTGGGTGAAAGTGGGTGAAAGCATTTATCAAGAAGCATTTAAGGATAAGCGGGTAAGCGTGCCAGTTTTTGACCCTAATGGTCCTCTGTTTCATATGCGCAGCAATGTCACAGAAATGTCTTGCTTATTTTCAGCTAACAATTTTATTGTTACCCCGTCTTCCCCTATATCCCCTTACGTATTCTCGTCAATGTAAGCAGCGTCCGAGTTTCTATGAGCATTTTATCAGCTGCATATTGTAGTCCGTCGGTTTTTTTTTTATCATTTCAAGAAACGTCAGCCGTAAAAATCGAATCCAATTGAGTTTGCATGCATGCAGTGAAGTATTTTGGTGTGGAAATGGAGTAAAATTAGTAATGTATTTTTGTCTCTCCAAAGCCGTCATTTACTCTACGAGCAGTTCCTCGTCAAATGATGAATCGACCAAACTCGGCCTTCTTCGATTTGCATGTGGAATCATTCATATTTCTGCTTAAAATTCGGCCATTTTGAATCTTGCATATTTTTCTAAAAAGGCGTGTTTAACATTAAGTTGTACGGAAAAATGAATTATTTCTAGCTAAAATATACGGGGTTTATTTAACCCTTTACCTGTACCTTCGGTCGATTTGAACCTATGCCACTTTGAAAGGCTGTAACTTTTTTTATTTATCGATGAATTTTACTAATTCTTTCTTGACTAGGTGCGCCACTGGAGCTCTGTAATATTAGATGAAATATGGTCCGAAAACTTGAAAAAATATTTATTGGAAATGATCTAAGATTGGACACATCGCAAAAAATCAGCTATTTTCAATTTTATCTACTAATGGATATTTTTGGACACTATTGAAAATTTAGTCAATTGCTGAATTTGTGTATGGGCCCAGATTAGGGGAATTTAGGCCGACATTACATCCATTTCCCCTATCTTAACAACATTTCAATGAATTTCAGAAATTTTTAATGATTTTCATAGTAAATTTACTGGAGTTTCTGTTCATTTGGACTTTTTTTTTCGAGGGGCGGATTTCTCGGGGGAGGGGTCATTGTAAAAATATATCCACGAAGTGGCATATTTTGATGTTAGATATGTTTATATCACAAGATCTCAACCATATAAGATGTTGCTTCCTTCTGCAAATATATTCACGAATACCTGGTCTTCAAAACTACGGATGTAGGATGGGTTTCCTTTTGGTTTGTTTTTTCCGTCGATCTTGTTTTCCGTGTTAAGCACCAATGCTACCGACATGCCAGGAAGGCAGCTCCCACACCTGGACCCTACCTATCGACCCATCAACTCATGAACCGGGGACCAACGGCTTTACTTCCCATCCGAAGGAAGGCGTGATCAGAGATGTTATGCCTCAGAACATCCCGGCGGCGCCGACTGGGATTGAACCCAGGTCTGCTGGGGTGAGAGGTAATCACGCTTACCACTACACCACTGGCGTCGTTTATGTAGGATGGGTCATCATGATCATTTTTTCAGAACAGTGTTTGTTTGATTCCATTTAGGGTCCCAAACAACTGTGCAAAATTTGGGGACGATTGGTTGTAATCCGGCTTTCCGCATTGCGTTTAAAATTTGTATGGAAAACCCTACTTTTTTCAATTTTTATCCCTAGAGACCATAGTTTTGCTTGAACCATGCAAATAACTATGTGCAATTATAGTCCAGGAAGTGCCTAACTACACTGGAGTCGCTTTTTACGCAGATTTCGGAATTTACGCGGTTTTTTTTTAAGCGGAGTCCGAAATTTACGCGGCTTACACCGATTATTTTTATCAATATGGGTATTTTCGGAATAGGGGTGATGTCTAGAGGCCGATAATTGATATCCGGCGCCATTTTAAAATCCAGCTTCCGGTTTCATAAAAAGTGAGAGTATGAGTATTTTTGAACTCGGGGTGATGTCTATAGGCCGGAAATTGATATCCGACGCTATTTTTAAATCTAAAATGGAGGCTTCTGGTTTGATAAAAAGTGGGGAATGCTGTCAAATTCCCATCAATATAGGTATTTTTGGAATCGGGATGATGTCCAGAGACCGGACTTTGATATCTGACGCCATTTTTAAATCCAAGATGGCGGCTTCCGGTTTCAGAATAAGTGTCAAATACCCTACACGGAGATGAAAAACTACTCAAAATTAAGTACTTTTCCCTCAATTCCGGGGTTCAGCCCAATAACCCAAATTTGAGTAAATCGCATATAGTAGTTTCCATTTACACCAGCAAAAAAAAATACCTACTCTTAAGTATATTCTACCCAAAATTAAGTTTAATTCACGTAAATTTGAGAATATGCATTTTACTCAAAAGTAACTTATTGGGCTGAACTATATCGTTGGGTCGAATCTCTTGTTCCTTTCTTGACAACAATAACGAGTGCAAGTGAGAGGCTGAAGTAAATATTAAGTAAAAAGAACTCAAATTTTGGGTAGTATTTTTTCTCCGTGTACAATATGGGTATTTTCGGAATGGGGACGACCGGTGGATGCCGAAAATTGATGTCTGACACCATTTTGGAATCCAAGATGGTGACCATCGGATTCAGAAAAAAATCCAAATAATCTGCAATATGGGTATTTTCAGAACGGGTACGACGTGTAGAGGCTGAAAATCGATGTCCGACGCATAATTGAAATCCAAATGTTGGCCATTGGTTTATAAAAACCTGTGAAATACCTAAAATATGACCGTTCCGAAAATACCCATTTTGTAGGGTATTTGACACTTTGTTAATCCAATAGTCGCCATATTGTATTCCAAAATGGCGTCGGACATGATGTTCCGTCATCTACACATCGTCCCCGTTCCGAAAATACCTATATCGTATGATATTTGACGCTTCTTATGAAACTGAAAGCCGCCCTCTTGGCGTCAGATATCAATTTCTGGCCTCCAGACATCACCCCGATTCTAAAAATACGCATATTTATGGGTATTTGACAGTATTTCAATCAGTACCAATTTTCGACATCTACCGGTCGTCCCCATTCCGAAAATACCCATATTTTAGAGTATTTGGCACTTATTTTGAACCACTGACCGCTATATTGGATTCCAAAATGGCGTCAGACATCTATTTTTGGCATCTACACGTCGTCCCCGTTCAGAAAATACCCATATTGTAGGGTATTTGGCACTTCTTCTGAAACCGGAAGCCGCCATCTTGGATTTCAAAATGGCATCAGAAATCAATTTCCGGTCTCTGGACATTACCCCGTTTCCAAAAATACCCATATTGATGGGTACTTGATAGTATTTCCCACTTTCTATGAAACCGTAAGCTGCCATCTTGAATTTAAAGCTGGCGTCAGATATCAATTTTTGACCTCTGAATATCACCCCGATTCCAAAAATATCCTATTGATGGGTTTTTGGTAGTAACTATTTCCCACTTTCTATGAAACCGGAAACTGTCACATTGTATTTCAAAATGGCGTCAGATATCAATTTCCGGCCTCTGGACATCATCCCGATTCCAAAAATAGTCATATTAATGAGTATCCGGATAATTTTAACTCGATTATTATCCGTTTTAAAACTATCCGGGTTTTTTAGGCGGATTTCGAAATTTACGCGGTTTTTTACGCGGATTTCGGAATTAACGCGGTTTTTTTTACGCGGTTTTTTTTTACGTTGCACGTATCATCCCCCGCGTAAAAAGCAACTCCAATATATTTTTTCAAAAGAAGTACGGTGCTACAATGTCTCGAAAAAAAGTTATAACTGTTCAAATATTTATGGTTTGAATTAGATGCCGAAAATCACTTTTTCTGCCTATGTACCAATGGGAGCCAGATTCCAAACTGAAGTAAATTTGGTGTTTCTTATCTTATCGATTTGGTATGATCAGATGAATTATCCAAAAACAATTGCTGAATGAGTGGAAGATGATCCAGTTGCGCCATCTTAAATACACATTATACAACGCTATCCACAGATCCTGTTCAAACGTTGGTTCCCGACTTGAGCAAAGTTGTTCAGATGGATATGGATGGATGGATATCTTAAACAACAGGTGCTTGTGTGACATTAATTTTGAATTAGGACAAACAATTTAGCATCTTGACTAGATAGAAGGTTCCCGTCTCCGGCAATATTGTTCAGATGAACAAGACCTATTTTATGAGAAAGAGTTTAGTTCTGAATTCACCCTCCAGGTGGCGCTAGTGTCACATTAATATTTCATTGTTTGCCCTAACTCAACATCTTGACTAGAGAGAAGGTTCCTGTCTTCGGCAAAGTTGTTCAGATGAACAAAGACCAATTTTATGGTACAGAGTTTAGCTCATACT